AGAGAGACAATTGAAGGAAATTTATTAAAATTATACGAATACCCTTCCTTCTCGCCCCTTTTCAAATAGGACACAATGCGATGTAACGAACGCTGCATAATTTAAAAAGTTAATTATAAGGAGAAGGGACGCAAAAAGTTTTCCTGTGATCAATCCTAATAACGATCTCTGCTAAAGGTAACAATTTCATAAAATTACTGAATTCTGCGTGGTATAAGATTAGCAGCTTGTACTACGTAACGTGCAATTTTATTATTTGTATCTGTGTACGATATTCTATTCTTCTTACTGCAAAACGATTGAACGAATTTTTACATCTTATTTAATTGGCTCATCAAGTCTTTCTTCTATCGCTATCAGTCTTTGACATTCTCAATCTCTCGTACAATTTGACGAAATCGATCGTCACATTTGTACTTTTTCTTTCGCGCGGATATGTCTCATTGCCTTAAATGCCAACGGAGCGGCTACTCCTATAGCGAATCTTTCGAGCCTCGCCGATAGTTGGAGTCGAGAGAACCTTCTCGATTCAAGCTCAACCCCTGTTATCGTGAAATCGATATTATTTAGAGGTGCTCAAAGAAGTGTGTACAAAACATAAGAGAAACAGAAGAATATAGATAAATTACGACAATTAAATTTGATGGTATATTTATTGATAACGAGAGGCAAATGCGACGAATACTTAGCGGTAGGAGCTCTAGGAGGCGTAGAAATGGAAAATAAATGCGTTTCAATAGCCAATGCTCTTGTGTAAATAATCCCAATCTAACTCTTATACTCTTTAATCGCGGGATTATAGTAATACATAAGCTTCTCTCTATATTGCTATATTATACTATATCGACATGTATCCGATCGGTCAAGGAGAGGGCTCTTTTTGTAAGAGCGCAGGAACGTGCGATTATCTTTTATACGAACTAAGAAAATTTCGCTTCCATTTTATGATAAAAATAATTTTAATGTAATCTACCATCTACTTTTATGTAGTATATTAATAATAATGTCCAAATTTGGGCATAATTGTTAATGTCACATAAAAGTTTTTATACGGTGAAGTAGATATAATGCATGAAAATCGCAAATGTCATTGCACAATAAGAGATAATTAAAAAAAAAAAAGTTACATTTATAATACTATTATGCATTAACGAATATTTAACAAAAATAAAACAAAACGATACCGTACTAGCAGTACCACTGTTAACCACGCATTAAGTAATCCTTAATCGCCTAATGTAATAATCAGGCGTTATAATACGTAGTAGCGAGGAATAAAAATGAGCACGGAAACCTTTCCTCGTCCGATCGAAACTTAAATCCTCCTCTTTCGTACTTCCCGCTTCGATCTGAAAACTTGGCTCCTTGGAAGAAAGCCTTTTCATGGCGTGCTCGAGAAGTCGAGGTCAGAATCAACGTCGAAACGTACTCTCTTCGTGGCACAGCAGCTTCTAAACAGCTTCTACTAATAAAACTACAGACGTGCGCAATATTTTCGTGCGACTGACGCGGTCGACGGAGATTCTTTTACACGCGCCCCACACACACACACACACACACACACACACACACACACACACACACACACACACACACACACACACACACACACACACACACACACACACACACACACTAC